ATAAAAATTTTAGCTTTATTAAATAATTTAAAAATATCTCAAGGTGATATCATCATAATGGTATCAACACAACTGGCAAAGGACAAGATATATATGTCAGAAGTTTGGCAAAAATTCTAGAAGTATTTTTTGGACTTTGAGAAATGCATAATCTTTTGAATTTGTTACTAAAAGTTGTGGTCACAAGTTCGATGACATTCTTTGGAACAATCCACATGTTATTTAAGATATTATCTGGATCTGCCCAGAGAGTATAATGTGCTATATATATTAAGAGGAGTAATTGAGAATATCTATCGAGCTATACATATGTCTGTGTCTCTACACACGCCACTGTGCTTGCATAGGCCAAAAAGTCTCTGGATGATAAAAAGTGAAAATGATAAAAGTGTCTTCAATGGAGAGTTCAAAGATGACAGGGAGGCTTACTATTTATTTAACATTTCTTTTTGTTGTAATTTGGAGTTTTAAAACCTATTTCAGATTTTACCTATTTTTAAATATCTTAAGGAAAATATTAGCTCAGAGTAAGGCAGAGCCAGTGGGAAGCTGTACAAAACAAATATTTTGGTGATTTTTTTTAAAATTTTCACTCAGGTATGTTAGTGCTCAGGTATCTGATATGGCAGGAGTGGTATAAACCCACCTTTCTGCAATTCTTTGCAACACAGCAATGGCTTTTAGGAAAGACTCTGGAGTGTGAAAGGTAACTTTCCTTTACTACAAATGGGTCTAATTTAGGAAGCAGGATTGCATAGTTGGCAGTCCTCTTAAATACTTTCCCCATAGTACCAGTGTGAAATATCAAACTTTTGGCAGCCAGGCAAGTTCACTGAATTCATGTGTAGCATTTCTTTTCAGTTTAGAATTGAGGTCCCATGCTCAGTGCCTGGCTTTTAAAAAATTATCTTTGTAAAAATCTTGCTACATTTTTGTACCGGTTGAAATGAAGCCCTTTGGACACATGAGGAGTTGTTAAAATTTCTTCCTCTGGAAAGTCACTGCAATGGATTTCAACAGAGGGGTTGGTTTCTTGTTGCTTTTTCAAATTCTCCTTGTTTTGGGGTCCTCCAGTTTCTCACTCCACCACAGTCAGAGCCACAAATCAAAACTTAACTTCAAAGAGAAAGCTAAGCAAGTTTTATTTTTTTAACTTAACACAGAGATACAGATAAACATATTATCAACAGTTTATTAAATTAGGAATTTTGAAAGCATATGAAATCAGCATCTCACAAAATGGAGACAGCGATGTTGTCTTCAAAACTACCACCTCCCAAAACAAGAATGTCTATCACAAGTTTTTGGTTACTGTGATTATAATTTTATAGTTTGTACTAACGTATTGAATGATGGTGGTTCATGAATTTAAAGAGGATCACAAAGAGCTGTTGCAGGCTCTCAAGGTTAGCAGCAGGATTCATTATCTGTTGTATTATATCTATTATACTGTAACAAATAGCCCCAAAACTTAGTGTCTAAAAAAAAAGTGACCATTTATAATCTCCTTATCTCTGGATGTCAGAAATTTGGGAGCAGCTTGACTGGGCAGTTTTGGCTTGTGGTTCCCCTGGAGGTTGCAGTCACATATCAACAAGGTGGTCACTAAGACTGGATAATCTACTTCTAAGGTGACTTGCTTAGATGCTCACAGATTAGTACTGGCCATTGACTGAGGTTCTCCGTGGGACTGCTTAAGTGTTCCCTTACATAGCAGCAGGCCATCCAGAGCAAGCTATCTGGATAGAAGATAGAACCCTCAAAACCTTTTATGACCAAGCCCCAAACCCAAGGTCACATACTGTTTCTTTGATCAACCCTGATTCAGTGTGGGAGGAAACTACAAAAAGGCGTGAATACTAGGAGGCAAGAATTGCCAAAACCATGTCAGAAGCTGGCTATGTCAGAAGCTCAAGCAGGATGCAGTCTCTGGGAAAAGAGCATTGGGGCTCAGTAAGAAAGTGCAGTACAAAGTCAGGAACCTCATCTCTTCTCCCTAAGCTCCAGTGCTGACTTTAGGCTGTTTATTACATTCAGTAACTGCTGATTCTAAAGGAGGAAATTTCTATTGAATGAAGGACCACAGCCAAGAACTCCTGAATATAGTTCATTTTTCCCTTCACTAAATCTTAACTGAACATTTTTCTAACATTAGATTTCTGTAGGATGACGAATAGGCTGAAGGGTAACTCAGCCATTGTTTTTAAAAATCCATTTTGGCTGCTCTAAGAGTTGAGGTTAACCCCTACTCTTTTAAAAAAAAGTACTGAAGGATCTGTGTGTGTCCTCTTAGATGAAGAAAGCCTTCGTTCTGGATGTCTTGCCCAAACCTCACACTAACTAATCTGCCTGGCCTTCAGTTTATCTTCTTTGGTCGGACCTTGTACTGAGTCAACACAATTGGGATTTGGGATCTTGAGCTCAGAATATCTGCATTTTGTAAACCTTAGACTCACTCATTCTCTGATTTTTCAAAACTGACGTTCTAAGTTATGCACTCAAAGGTAGGTTTAGCACTAAATGAGATAATTTACATAAGATGCTTGACACAGTGCCCTAGAGAATCAGAATGAGAAAAAGTAAGATGTTATCACAACCATCCTAGTTGTGCTATCATTATTACTATTGTGCAGCTGACCTTGACTTTTTAATGCAGCTGTATTATACTCTGACTTGGAAGTAGCCTATTTTTAAAAATGTGGAATAGTCAGCTCCTTCCACTTCTCTACCCTCAAGGAATTGTATACATGTAAGTGAAATAAGGTGTGAAAATTTCTTAGAGGAAAGCAAAATATTAGAAAGAGGTACTTTTAAAAGACTAGAATAAGAATGAGAAAGGTTTAATGTCTTAAGTTAATTAGCTATTTTGTGAATCTTTAATCCCTCGTTTACACTTGGAATTTAAGACTAGAATATCCCAAAGATCACTTCCAAAGATTTTGAATACAAAATCTCCGTGATTAAAACAACACAATGGAGTTAATGTAATCTTTGAAAAAGTTTCCCCACTGTGATTCAGTTCTTCGTGTGCAAAATATGACTAACAACAGTAACTGGCATATGTTGGTGATGACATCATGATGATGAGGATGGTGATGATTTTGCAGATGAGAACTCTAAAATTCATGAAAGTTTATTACTTTTTTCTGAGGTCACACAATAGTAGAGCTGGAACTTGAATTTGGGTCTTCCATTAAACTACATTATTTGTACATCTACCTTTCAAGCCTGCCTGTTATTTATCTACTTTTGAAATGTAATTGATTCTGAAATGTAATTGATTCTAACAGTGGACTCTTAATCACGCTTTACAAAGGTTGTTTTACAGAAAAAGGTAAGGAATAAGAAAATGGGATGGTTTTTGTCCCTAATATTCTAAATGTCCATAAAACACATAGCATTGCCTCCTTCAAAACTAAGATGTCCCCAGGGTATCACCATTTAAAAAGGTAGAAGAGAATTCGACTTCATCCCCAAGGACTCTTTGTGGCTGTCTCAGTTCTGCTTACACTGTGTGTAATGTCCAGTCTCTCATTTCACCCTACCTTAGTTATGTTTCCATGTTTCTCACTTACTTAGATAAAGAAAATGACTTTCACTTTTTGCTGTATGGACTATTAAAGCAGTAAATGATGGTTTGAAATAAATTCAAAGTTCTCCAACCTTTTTCTCTAATTGTGATTCTGTTTTGGGTGAAAGCACTGAAAAAGTAAAAGCACATTGTTTTCAATGCAGTTATTGCATCTTCAATCAGTTATTGCCTGGCTCCAGGCAATGCAGATAATTGTTTCAGCCATTTGTAAAAGACAGGTGAAACTAGAACGTAGTCTGACTAGTTTTATTGTTCTTGTTTCTTTTGTTTTTAAGTATAACCAGAGCATTACCTCTCAGAGGCTGTGTCTTTCAGAACAAAATGCCCTTGAATATCTCTCCAATTCTAAACAGTGCTGTCTTCACTCAAAATAGTTTGGAAATGACTCTTTAGTAATTATCTTCAGAGTTTGCCGCGCATTCTTTGCAAAGATTCAATGGTGACAAATAATTCTCCATTACTTTTTTACCACAGCATATAGATTATAGATTCAAACTGTTGCTGGCATAAATGTAAAATGAAAAAGCATGAAATGGACTGTCTTGTGGTTGAATTCAGTAACTGCGTTTAGTGAGACTAAACTGGTATTGAAAACTAAAGAAATATTAAAGAAAAATTTAAAGTATTGACTGGTAATAATATGTTATTACCATTTCTGGATGTCACTGGCATGTTTCCATTGAATCAGCACCATTAAGAGTATTTATCTTCGTACATTCTGTGTTTACCTAGTGGAAAAGTGAAATTTAAAAGTTCCATAAGAACTTTTTAAACAAAATAATGTTCAATTATTATATTGTTCAATTTTTATTTTTTATATTATTTTTAAATGTTATAAAAATGTATCATTTTACTGCTCTATAAAATGCACAGGCTTATTAACCTGGTTTTCTTGGTGTATTTATGAGAATGTTTTATCAAAATGGATATTTTAAATGTTATAAAGAGCTAATACTGTGCTAAATTAGACTATAAATGATTAATTTGGAAAAAATAGATTTTTATTATTTTTCTAGAATGTCTTTATATTTATAATAGGCAACTATTAGGAAGTAAGATGCCTTCTGTGTACGCATATACTATCTTTGGGCGCACAGACCTCTGTGCAAATGAATAATTGAGTCAACATCTCTTCAAATTTAAGTATTTGGGTTTTGTGTTTGTGCTTATCCTTTTGTATACTTAATTCACAGTTTGTATTCGTTCAGGAGACTTCTCTTTAGTTTTCATCCCGCATGGGTAAATTGATTTGTGGTAAAAATACGAATAAAGAAAAAAGACAGAAAAAATGGAGCTGAATTCCTGAAAGCGATTTCTGTAGAAGGAAAGAAATTAGATTTTTGACTGCTAACACTTGGCTCAAGGGATTTGATTTAATGAAGCTGTGTGATGTGGTAAGAGAGTAGAAGTAAAGAAGTTTAGGCTTAAAAGTCCTTGCTCTGTCACTAATCTCTCTGAAGGACCCCAGATGAATCACCGGACCTCTGTGAGCTTGTTTCCTCATCTGTAAAATGAGAGTTTTGAGGACATGGTTGCTAAGAACCCCTTCCAGCTATAACATTCTGTCATTCTAATTCTGAATACTCTGTCAGATCTTCTTTTTCCTTTGTACTATTTGCATGCAGACTACCTAAATACTCACAGATGTTTAACTTCCAGAATTTGTATTAGCTCAGGCTGCCATAACAAAATACCTGAGACTGGATGGCTTAAACAGCAGGCATTTACCTTCTCACAATCCTGGAGACTTAGAAATACAAGATCAAGGTACTGGCCAATTTGGTTCTTGTTGAGACCCTTTTGCGGCTTGCAAGTGGCACTTTCTAGCTATGTCTTCACCTGCTCTTTTCCTCAGTGTTATAGAAGTGCATGGAGAGGTAGCAATAAATCGCGCTCTGTCCCTCTCATAAAGTCACTGATCCTGTTAGATTATGACCCCACCTCTGACCTCATTTAACCACTGAGAAGAAGGGGGACACAATCAGTAGCAATTCCCCTAAGTAGTTCACTGTAGATCCTCTTCATTCCAATTAGTTTGTACTCATTCGCCTCACCACCCTTTCAAGTTAAGGGGGGGGCGAAGAGGAACTAAAATTTCATTGGCTTCCAAAATCAGAGAAGCAATAAATGTATTGTCAGCAAATGTGTAAAAGAAATAGAAGTGGAATTGCATTTCGATGACATTTCCCCCTAACATTTCATAATCTACTTTATAGTGGAAACGTCATAACATGAAACACACTTACAGAAAACTTGATATAAGTTTAATATTTTACTCTCCAATTAATATTTTACACCACCAGTTAATATTTTACTCTTCTTTTTGCAGATCTATTCATCTTCTATTTATCAATCAATCATCTCTTATTCAGTGCATTTCAAATGTGCAGACATCAATACTTAAGCATTCATAAAACTGAAGTTCAGCTTTTTTGACAGGCACAAATCTTAAGTAAAGGATTCTGATGAAATTCTTTTAGATCACCATTTAAAATCTTGTTATGTTCTATATACACTTTAATGGAAAGAGTTATGTTGTGAGAGGACACTGTACCATTAGTAGAAATTATTTGTAACCATATGCTAGTTGTTGAAAACTCCATTATTTAAATCCCTAAAAAAGACAGACCTAAGAAGTGAAAGAATCAAGAAAAATTTGAAATTCTTTTTTTAAAAAATTAGGCAAATGGTTGGGGAAAGACTGGTTATTTGAATTTGATTACTTTATGCCTTCATATATAAATAATTGGCTTTATACTTTTCTTTCCTTTTTAAACATGAGAGCGGGGAATGGGAAAAGATGGGTTTTTTCTCCTCTTACCTCCAGAAATTCATTCTCAACTAATACAGAGAATTTTACCTGGTTCCTGACACATGGTTAATAGCTTGTTGAAGACTGATAGGTGAATGAGTAATTGAGTGAACATGAATGAATGACTATCCTCAACATTCCGAGGAATCTTTACATGGTGGTTATAATCATATTGTGATATATCCCTTTAGTGGATCACATACTATGTTCTCCAAAAGCTTTAGAGCAAGGAACTCCCAACAAGTGAGAAAGGACTTTCTCATTCATAGGAATGTGTAATTCGTATAGATTTTTTTGCATATATGTTGTGTATAATTTATGCTTTGTGTACGTTGTGTATAATTTATACTTTGTATGTACAGACACACTGATGTCTAGGCATATTAGGAGTACTTGTCAATAAGTCTTTTCTGCTACTCCCTGAATTAGTTGCAGAACAATTGCAGTTTATCAGAATTCACTGAAGTCTTAGTTGTTCTTAGTGGTTTGTTCTCAGTTCTTTGTTCACTGCTCAGAGTTCACCACTGTCTTAATGAGTCACCCGAGCATTTAGCTGCATCCATTGCTGTTTTTCTCCAAAATCTGTTGAAGTGAACTGGTTTGATTTTTTTTTTTTTTTTTCCTCCCATTTTGTTTTTTTTTTTTTTTTTTTTTTTTTTAAATATTAAATTTTATTTTTATATTCCCCCATACAATTGCAAACGCCCCATTCTAACCCCAATCCTTCCCCTCCCGCCCCCCACCCCCAAAAAGTGTCTCTGGTTCATAGTTTTTTGTTGATTTTGATTTTCACTTTCTTATATTCATTTTCCTGGTCCCTTATTTAAGTTTTCTAGATTCCTGCTATGAGTGAGACCATCCGGTATTTTTCTTTTTCTTTTTGGCTTATTTCGCTGAGCATGATCCCTTCCAGTGCCATCCATGTTGCTGCAAATTGCATGTGTTTATCTTTTTTGAATGCTGAGTAATATTCCATGGTATATATGTACCACATCTTCTTGATCCAGTCATCTATTTTTGGGCATTTGGGTTGTTTCCAAAGCTTAGGTTTGATTTTTTTAAGCACTGCCCATGCCATCCATGAGGACACAGTTTCATCAGCGCTCTCATCCCACTGGTAATGGCCTCACGGAGGAAATCGGTGTTAGAAGCATCACTGAGATTTAGCTCTTTTATTCAGAGTAATTCAGAATGAAAGTGAGGAGCAAGAATTGGCACTATGTCGGGTGCAATAAAGATACCAAGGAAGTTGTTATCATCACAGATGCCCAACCTGGATGCAGAGGTGTGGGGGTCAAGGATTACAACAGTCAGCCTGTGTTGTTGATCTCAGCCAACCTCAGCCAAGAAGTAGTTTTGGGAATCTATAACCAAGGGGTCTCTCTTGTCAGGGCAAACACAGGGGGAGGAGGAAGTGGTTGCTGTGGTGAGGTTCAAGAACATAGCTGTGCAGCACTAGAGATCTCCAAAGAAGGGGAGACAACCAGGAATCAATAGATCTGAGTGTAGCCACGGACAGAAAAGACACCCCAAAAAAGAATCCCAATAGCAGAGTCATCGTGGGAATGGTAGAGCTGAGTTGGTGGAATGTCAGTGTAATGATAACAGTGGGCAGGACAGGGTTAAAACCCAGAAAGCCATCTACTCATAGATGATTTTCTTGTCACCCTACAACACAGAAGCAGTGCGACCCACAGTTTCATCTAGGCAGGCAGGCCAGTGACATCATCCCTCAAAGACTGAAATGGATGGTTCCATCCTTGGAGTTTTTTTCTTTTAAAAAGTATAATTATTGGAGCAAGGAAAATGTTTTGAACTTGGTTTTTAAATTTTACTTTACATTTTCCTGGGGTTTGGTTCTATTTGCTTCCAGCGTGGTCCAAATACCTACTTCAAAGCAAACATTCTAACAAGAACTTGTTAAAAGGAAGGGAAACCAGCTCCTGTGGCTTCTTGTGCACCAGCTATGGAGGCACTCACAGAACCACTTTGTGAGTTGAGTGTAAATGAATCCGAAACCTACAAATTAGATTTCCCTTGAAATACACATGGGTTTAAAACCTTAACGGGAAAAGAACTTGGCAAATCAAATCTGACCATATTCAGTAAAACCTCACTAATTTGCACTAATGACTAAGAGACCCATTGAGAATTACTGAATTTTTGTGAGGATGTTAGCATGGGAACAAATACCAAAACAGGGGTGAGGGGATGAGGGGCATAGAGGAAGAGTAGCAGGGGGTGAATCAAAGTTGCAGCATCAAACAAACATACTTTCTGGTACAATGAAGAATGTATTTGAACAGTTACTGGAATGAAACTCAATAGCTTAATGAGTGCCTTGCTGTGGCGCGCCTGCCCGCTGGGGAGGCAGCCATGTCATACAGCAGGCCTAAGCCAGCAGCTAATGTGCACTTAGGTAAAGAGGCCTTTGCTTTATTGAAAGTTAAGGAGGTTGTGGTTTCTGCAGGGGTGTGAACCAATGAGATTCTACCATGTGTCATGCAAGCTTGTTGTGGGCTTGCATGTGCAGGCTGTGCTTATTACTGCTTAAAAAAAGAACTTGCTAGAAGAGATAGCGAGGCGAGGTTGGAAAACTGACTAGCTGAACCTTCATTAGATTTCAGCAAATCATACTTGCAGAAGATATTTAAATTATTCTGAACTGAAGATATCTAGGGTTTGAATATTTTTTATAACTGAGAATAGCTCTTAACTAAATGTGCTGTTCCTCTGACTTCAGAGCAGCCCCCATAGTGATTGGTGTCTACACTGATGTCAGTCACTCCTCCTACTTGTCTTATTGCAAACTTCACCAGCTAAAGAATAATTTAGAACTTCCACACAAGCAGCCACTGAAGACTGTGGGGAATAATAAATATGTGTAGCCAGAGCTTTCTCTAGGATGTGAGGTCTTGGTTTTAGGTTTGTGGTGCTGCCTAAGGACCAGAAGAGGAGTCGTCACACCAGCGGGTGTAGAAAAAGACTGACCTCATTTAGCACACACGGGAGCCTTCTACTGTCATTATTTTTGTCTTCTTTCTTCCTAACTCCCCAGTTAAACAATAAAATGTGATTCATACATCTCCCTTTCAAGTATGGAAATTTGAGGAGTTTGTTCATTAACAGCCTCACAGGAATTATACCAAACTATGCTTCCTAAGCTACCAGTTTTGTTCCCATGATTCTCAGACAGACTTTGCTTCTTAAAGGGAAAACTCCAAGGCCAGTATAGGCTTTTTAAATCATTCTCATCTTCACCTCACAATTTCTGCAGTTTTCATTTTCCCTTTTGTGCCTTAGATCCTCTGAGGAAGAAAGACTGCTTCTGAAGAAGTGCTCATAGCTTTATCAAGCAGGGCACCTGAATTCCCCTTCTCATGACAGACATTCTGCTCTCTTCCTCCTCTCTGTAGACGAACAGATTCAGTTCTTCCCCATCTTGAGCCCTGTCCTTGACAGTTCAGTTTGCTGTTATCATTACTGTTATTTTACAACAGAACTCTTAGAAGGTTGCATGTATGGGTGATGTACTCCAAGTTTTTACCAAGCTAATGCTCTATGTGATCTGACCCCTGACAGCCTCTCCTAACTCCCCTCCCATTTCTCGCCATCTTGCTCATTCTTTTTATACCACAGATATGTGGCAAATACTCCACTTAGGCTTTTTCCGCTTGAAGCTCATTCTACATGGCTTGTTCTTTTGTTATGTATCTCCATGATTTCCTCCTTTGTTTCTCATAGGTCTTGCTGATCTTACCTGAACCAGTGGGCCTTTCCTGAACTCTTATACATATCATAGTAACCTCATCCCCTCAATAGGGCCCCCATTGGGTTTTCCCAGCTTAGTTGGACTTTGCCTGTTTGGCTCACAGATACATTCCCAGCACCTAGCAGAGTAGATAATTGATATATAAGTAGTTGGGTGAAAGATATAATATAGATACATGTAAAT